CTAAAATTTTAGAGTTAGTAGTTTTAGACATTGAAGTTTTGAATGAGCAAAAAAAATTTTATCGAGTGCCTCGTATATTCGATGCCTTCATAGACGCTCTCTTAAGAATTCAATAATATATTTGTTGATTTTCTTTAGATAGATTAGTTGGTACAGAAAATAATAAATTTTTTGATTTTACAAAAACTTTTTAATTGTTTCCGGTATTGATTCTTTTTTTTTCCGTTTGCAAGCATGATTTTAGTATTAACATTTTTCAACCTCGCACAAAAACAAAATTGACATTTTGATAAAAATATTTAAATATTCTGATGTCGACATGGATAAACAGATATTTACATACTTGAAATTTTATTTTGTAATAAAAAAAAAAAAAAAATTTTGTTGAGATCAACTGATTATTTTCATGGTTAAATTAGTAAACAAAACTTCTCGTTGGCAACCTTCTTTCAACATTAAGAAGAAATTGTTCTTTTACTTTCAATATTAGACGAAACCTACAAAGTTTGTCATTCACTTCTTATTCTTCACTACTAAAAAAATAAGAAAAATTTAATCGCTTTTAAAGTGACTATTTTGAGAAGTGCACTAACGGACAGCAATTTTTTACTTTTTATTTACATAGTTTCTATATTATTTTAATTGACAATCAACGATCCAAAAGTTACAATACTGTATAGAAAAAAAAAAGAAATTTTTTTTGTTAATATTTACTACCAGGTTGAATATAATAAACAGATGGATTTTTATTTGATATAGTATTTTGCATATATCTATTTGTTAATTGTGGTTCCGATTCATATTGTCTTGGTGTTGGATAAATTTTTTCAATTTTTCGTACAGGTCGTTGATGATTACTATTTGAAATGTATTCTTCTTGTTGAGGTTCATAATTTCTTGGTGATAAATTTTTATTCGATCTTCTTGTAGAAGTTGGTTCAATTTCACCATAATGCATTCGTTGAATAGGTTCAAGATGATGTTTTCTATTTGGATCTCCTTGATGAATAATTCGAGGTGATGGAGTATTATTAATATTTGATGGATGAACTGAAGGACGTAATGTTGAAACATGAATCTTACTATGAGGTGCTTCAACATAATACATCTCAGCTTTTCTTGGTGATTGATAATAATAAGTATCATTTGGTTTTTCTCTATGTTGTCGTTCAATAATTCGTGTATCGGAATTATTTTGTCGTTTTGGTGGTGAACGCCAAGTATCACTTGCTGGTGGTGGTGGTGTTTGTGCACGTCGATGTTCAACATGTACGGGTTTTGTCGGTGACGAACGATAATCTTGAACAAGATAACGTTGACGTGGTTCATCTGGTTGATCATGATGTCGAGGAGCCATATGACCTCTATTATCAACATGATAAAGTGTTGATAGATGAGCTCTAGGATGCTGATGGATATCATCCAATGGTGAACGATCACGTCGAGGAATTTTTCTTTGTGTAACTACTGGTTGTTCATGTACTACCGGACGTGGTCGCGGTGGTGGTGGTTCAGGATAAAGAGGTTTACGAACATAACGTGGTGTTGTTTCATCTTTATAATGTATTTCATCATCATTAGGACGATAAGTAAATTTTCCATTTTGATTTGAATATAAAAATTGTTTACCATGTTTTGATTGTCGAAATCGATGTATGGCACCACGATCACATATTTCGCATAAACCAGTTTGCTGATCAATAATATGTTTACCATAATGGACCATTTTAGAGTATTTTTTTGTTTTTTAGTCGAAATAATGATATGTATACCTATATATAGATTCGTCGTTTTTTTTTTCTGCTATTTTTCCTTTCAATTACAAAGCATCAAATTGCATATGGTGACCATTATCGTATTACCACTTGTGTCTATTTTTCTGTTATGACAACAACGGGATGAAAAATCAACCACTTATTCACTTGTTCGAGTGCCTGCAAGAAAAAAAACGGCAGTGTGATCGTAGAATTTTTTTTTCTCCTTCGTTTTCTCTCTTGCTTTTTGTTTAACCTAATTCATATCTCACATTTTCAATAACTTGAAAGCATAAAAAAATTCATGATAGAAGAAAAGATCGTATGATCGATTTTTGAGGAATTTTTTTTTTTTTTTTTTTTTGATCGATAAATAGAAAAGAGAAAAAGAAAATAATCAAAATAACGATAGAAGTGCTTTTCCGCCTACCCATACTTTTTTTTTTACTATTCAATGACAAAATTTCTTTAGTCACTTATAAATGATGAACTGAACAATATAAAACAATCGTTTTTTTTTGTCAACATCTAAGCAACAAAAATCGCATGTCTGGTTTTTGATAGATATAGAAACAGTCGTCGTGACATGTATCCATTAATATTTAGTAAAGAAATTGTCATGTTATACACAAGAAAATAAGATTAAAACAAAAAATATACAAACTACATGTAATAACATAGGAAAATAAAATAGGAAAAAAACTTATTATTAAATCAATTGTATATATTCTAGAGACTTTGTCAATTATCAGAGTAGATAACCAGTTAAAGAAAAACAAACCAGTGAAGCCTCTGGTCTTAATTATATTACCATCTATTTCGAATAGGGAATAACAATTTTGATGAATTATTTAAAAGAAATATGATATATTTATTCTTCTAAACGAAAATAAAGGATAACTCTTGATTTTCTAATAAATTTTTCATAGAATTAACTATGTTTTCTCGAATTAAGATGACAAATATATGTCTTATTATTCAGTATACTCTTCACAATTCAACCATAAATAACACGAATTTGTTGATATAAATGTAATAACATATTTGTCAAAGACTACCATTGCTTTTTTTCTTCATAGTCAATGATGATACTTCAAATAGAGAATTTTCTAGAAGTTTTAAATTTCACTATCAATATTGATTATTTATTTCAACAAAAAATGAAAAAATATTTTTCATATTCAGTGAAATATTTTACATATTAGTAATAAAAAGTTCATTTTCACTATAAGCTTTTTTTTTTAGTTTCATCATTGAGTCCCATTCAAATTATAAATATAACAATTTGATTTCATAATTTGTCATGAATACAAACAAAAAGGTTCTTATGAAATTTTATTAAAAAAAAGAAAAATATTGATTTTAGTTCCATAGACTTTTACTTTAAAAAAATAATTATTTTCAATTGAAATTCTATTAAATACGTAATAAACATCATAAATTGATCGCAAACAATTAAATTCAATAAAAACTTTTGAAAAAAAGAAAACAATATCGTAAGTTCATAATGAATTAATTACTAGAAATTACTTAGGGCATACCAAAAGTACTGGCAGTGACACTTTAATACCCTATAGTAGACTTTAAGAAACTTTCTTTCTATATAGTCTGATAGAGAAAAAAATGCTCTATCTTTCTATACTATTTGATCGTACTTCAGCTAATCTCATAATATTAAATTATCCATAAAACCTATTTCGGCTGATTATGTGCTGGTTGTACTAGATTACAACGTGTGAGAACAGACTAGTTTTCAATCCCTCAAGACATTGTATGAACAACCAAAATATACCATAAGATGCAGCGTGAAAAGCTCTGCAATTTACATAAGGCCATTTATTTTATAGCTGCACTTTTTGCTTTCAAAATCGATAAAGTTTTGAGGGATCAAATTTTTGGTATTGAGAAAATTGGTCGCATAGAATTTTCCTTTTTTTGAAAACAATTACAATAAGCTTTGCTGTATAGATTGTAGAGCTTTTCACGCTGCATCTTGTGGTATATTTTGTTTTTCTTTTGGTAAAGTATATCAGGTGATAAACAATGAAATAACAAAAATGAATTCGTTGTGTATCGAAAATATTGTCTTTTTCGCATCTTCACAATTTGATTGCTCCAAATTTTGTCGATTTCGAAAACAAAAATTGCAGCTATAAAATAAGTGGTCGTATGCAAATTGTAGAGCTTTTCCCGCTGCATCTTATGGTATATTTTGGTTATTAATACAACTAGTAAGAAATCGAAAACTGCAATGCAAAACTTACAACCAGCATATAACCAGCCGAAATTGGTTTTATAGATAATTTAATACTATGAGATTAGTTGAAGTACGATCAAATAGTATAGAAAGATAGAGCATTTTTTTCTCTATCAGACTATATAGAAAGAAAGTTTCTTAAAGCCTACTATAGGGTATTAAAGTGTCACTGCCAGTACTTTTGGTATGCCCTAAGTAATATTTTTTTTTTCTCAATTTTTCTTGTAAATAAACTAAAACAATTTTATGTCAATAGAATTTATTTGTCATTTTTTATCTATGTTTTGCACCTAATTCTCGTATTCACCTGTCATGGAATTCTATTAACAATGTTTATTTTAGATAAACTATTTATTAATTTTATTCGACTACTATATAGTTACAAATTAATATTTATTGAATAAAAGAAAAATTTGAGAAAGAAGAACAAATATAATATCTTTTTATGATAGCATAATAATTAATAATATGATTATTATTGATATTTTCAAATAAGAATTTTTGTTTTTTTTTTGTTAAATAAAAAATACATTTAAAATCTTTTTAATTAAGGCTCTAAATTATCCCATATTTATTTTATCTATGCAAGCACCATATGTGTAAAACATTGGTGCAAGAGAATTTTTCAATAAAGGGCATGTACACACACCCACACCCAAATAATTCATTGTTTTTTGTCTATATCAGTAGATAATATTCGAGAAAAAAAAGTTAATAAAAAATCGAATAAAATAATTTTAATATTATCAAAAAATAAAAACAATTTTTTTTTTAATTTTATCTTCTTGAATTGTATGAGCAAAGTAAACAAAACAAGTCTTAGTACATGTTAATTCACTTATTTATTTGAGCAGACAAATAAAGACTAACAACAATATAGATGGCATTTCGTTGGTGTCTGATCTATCAGACATACATCTAAGATCCTTTCAAAACATAATCAATATATATATAGAGAGAAGCTTCTTTCTTGTGATTGATAGCTAGAGAAGAAAAAAAATTCGATTAGAGAGTTCTTTAGATGAATATTCCCATAGAATATATATATATATACAAACTGGACTAAGATGTAAGGAATATTTTTCATTATGCTAAGTGTTAATACGTAGGCGAATGCTTACATTTGTTGTTATTAATAATATTGGTGGGAAGCTCTTTTTCTCTCTCTCTCGATCGCTGATTCTCTTTGTTTTCTCGATATTCATGATTGATACCAGCAATTTCACTTCAGTAGAAAGTTCTTATAGGTTATTATCTATATTATAGCATATAATCCATCTTTTGTCGATCAAGTCCATATCTTCTTCTTTTTTTTTTGTGTGCAAGATTAGCATACTCCTGTAAATGTCTGTAGAGTATAATTATCGGACGACAACAGAGATATGTTTGCTTGTCATCTCTTGTCCGAAGATGTGATAATAACGTAATAGTCTTTACTCCTTTTTTTTTTTTTTCATTCTACTATAAGACATACACATCATTGTACTAGTAACTAGCGAATGCTTCTAACGAGCCATTAGATTATTGATATCGTAAAGCATACAATCACTGCTATTTCTATTGACGTAATACCAATAGAATATCGTATAAAAGAAAAAAAAAATAGAAATCACGTCATAAATTGGGAGCATAACGTTCTCTTATTGCTGACTCCACCCATTCGTTGGTTGACTGATGAGATATAGAGCGAGAAAGATAGATCATCATCATCATCATCATCATCTTCTTCATCATCATGACAAATCATTACCAATAACAACCTTTTTTTATTTATCCATCCACTGCAGAGCAGAACAAGAGAAAAAAAAAGGAAAGGTTTTTCTATGGGGGTGTATGTGTTTGTATGGAAATTGATAACGACGAATAACATCTATATCACCAAGGCTGACTAGTATAAGACATTCCCATTTTTCTTCTTCTTCTTTTTTTCTCTCTCTCGCTCTTGCTCTTTCTTTTACTGATCACAAACATCGTATATGTACAAATCATAGCAATAGAAGATAATCTTGTTTGCTACTGCACTTTTTTTTCTTCTTTCTACTTATACAAATGATGTTATTCGTTAGAACGCGGTTGTATGCATAATCCAACAGTTGAGACGAGCTTTTTGGTCAATTTGATCAATTATTATTATCTTAGATATTTAACATCTGAAAGCAAAATGTTTTGCTCTTTTCAAAAGTATATCGATTAGTATAGAAATCTATATAAAGATTATCAATCTGTTAACTAATCGAATATATAATATAGACAAGTTAATTTAAATATTTCTTTTAGATTATATTTATTCTTGTTTATTTTATTCTCTATTATTTAAACAATGCCACAGTGGGGAGGTGGTGGTGAAATATGTCCACGTTGTCAGAAAACGGTTTATCCAGCAGAAAAACTTGCTGCTTGTAGTGCATCATGGCATAAAGGTTGTTTTAAATGTAAAACATGTAAGTTTATTTCATTTAGATTATTTATTTATTTATTTATTTATTTATCTATTATAGGCAATAGCCTTTTGACATTGGCTTCATACAAGGACTTTTCTCAAGATATTTATTGCAAAAGTAAGATGAGAATTTAAAAAAAAATAATATTCTTGTATCTTTTTTTTTTTTATTAAGGTTGTTATCAGGATAAACTTCATCCTCATGAACGAAATCGTAAACAATTAGAATCAAAATTTAATAGACAACCTGGTGGTGGTGCTAATCCTGCAACAACAACAGAAGCAGCTTCAGCATCTGAACCAGCTGGAGAAGAAGAATAAATACTCTAATAATAAATCTATAAAAAACAAACAAAAAAACAAAAAAAAAAAAAGCACGCAACTTAGACATAAATAATTACCAGATTAAAATTCGATTCTATCGCTTGAACATATATTTACTCTTATCTCTTTTCTTACTTTTTGGTCAGGAACAGTTTCACTCTGTTAATGTATGTGTGTGTGTGTGTTTGCCTATAACCCTTGAAATTATTTGCCTATTTTTTTTCTCTCTTTCACACATTTAATATATATCTACAAGAGGTATTGCCATACTTTATTTGCTATAGTTTTTCTTCTATATATATATTTATCTCAAAAACATACAAAGACGTGAAAAAGGAAATCATGCTGTTTCTGTTAAAATGACAGCGTTAATGAGAAAGATTACGCTATGTTGTTGTCGATATCTGACACTTGTATATAAGTAAAAAAAAAAAATAAAAAAGATGAAGTATTAACCATATCTTTTTTTAAGTTTATTATGATGTCTATTCCTTCGTTTAGTATCTCTTTCAGTTGATCTCGATGGTAATAAATTACGACCAGTCAAATCAATAACATTAAATTGTTCATAATCATCTTCAACTGGTAAAGCAACAGATTGAGTTGAAATAGGTCGCTACAAATATAAGAAAAGTTTATATTTTGATTAAAATAAAACAAAGATAAATACATGTTGATGTAATGGGGGTAAATATTCATGTCTTGCTGTTTCATAACCAGGATAAGAATTCGGATGATGATAATAATAATCTTGATAATATATTGGATCATTTCTTGAAGGATACATATAAGTTGCACCGGATGATCCATTGGGTCCATAACTAGGATATATATAATATCCCGATTGATGTTGATTGACAATAGGAGGAAAATATGTAGGTCCTCCTGTCATTTGACCGTACTCGTTTATTGGATAGTTAGCATATTCTGAATTATTATTATATGGAGGTGAAGGATACATATAAGGGTCCATATATCCTGGATAATATGACGATGATGATCTATATCCATATTGTGGATTAGGATAATAGGGTAGAATATTGTTAGCTGTCTGTTTGGTGTCAGTATTTATTTGGTTTGGTCTAATAGACATGTTGATATGTCAGAAAAAAATTGTTTTATTCAATACATTTACTGATTCCATTAATATATATATTTACATTTATGTCATTATGTACATTGACGTTTTTTTTTCTCTTTTGTTTCTTTTTCTATCTGAAAGTTTATTGAATTCTACAATGAAGTAAAAAGAAAAAAAAAACTTATTCAAACAATTATCAGTTGTCATGTGTATTCTTTTTTGTTTGTGTAGTTCGAAGAAAAATAATAATAAAAAATGCTGCGATATTTATTAATAAACATTCGTAATATTTTTCTGTATAAATTTTTTATGACCAAAAATAGAAATATAACTGTGTGCCTTTCAAAATAATAACTATTTTACTTTTGAGAATCGATATGATTTGTTTCGAATTTCCCTAATGAATTTTTTTAATATATAATGGAGTATGAGATGACAGTCATCTATTGGCAATAAGAGAAAACTTTTATAGATTTATTTTTATTGCATAAGTTTAGATACGCAGAGAAACAAAAAAAAAACTTATATTTATCTCGATAATGTATTTTTAGTATTGCAATCAATTTTGTCAAGGGAAATATTCATAACAAATCGAAAGTAAATATTTATTCCATGTAAAAACCAAGATGATGAAAGACATAAATCGTAAAACGGAAGTAAATAACATGGAAAAATCTAGATTAATATAAACTTTTCTCAAGTTGAAAAAAATAAACATGATTCATCAATTATTTCCATAGTTTACTATAATTCTCTTCTCTCTCAACAACAGAAAAAAAAAGAATGGAATTATGCAATATTCTTGTCGTTGTAATACCAAAAAAAAACGATGTAATAACTGTTATATTTCGTAAATTATACATTTATTCGTAGTAACTACGGAAGAAAAACATTAAAATAGAATAATATGAATAACTTGTCATTTTTTTTTCTGAATTAAAATTACTACACTAAAAGTATAGTAAAGTAACAAGATCGGGATAAAAATAAACATTTTTGTTGATAGACACAAAGAAAAAATACACAGTTAATTAGAACAAGATTTAACATATATGGAGGAGATCGCAGAAAGAAAAATTCTTATTGATTCTTTATTTTTTTTTTGTTGAAATTTTTTTCAGCACTTTTTGATAAATATGCTGATAAAAAAAACGATTACGCTAAAGACTACATAAGAAATGTTCTTCTTGAATTCTCTCCTCTTGATATGTCTTCCCATTTGATATTTACATCTATAATGAATGAGATTATTCATGGACATCTTCAAAGACTGGCCATTTGGTTTTTGTCTCACGGCCATAATGTTGATTAAAAAATTGAATATCACTATTAATATCATATTTGTCAATTGCTTTTTTCAATAAGTCAGACATTTCATTATGACGTGTATCCTTTTCAATTGACACTGCTTCTTGAAGAGCACCGAATAATGATTTAAATTGATTTAAACGATCTCGTTCAAAATCATCTGTACGAGATAATATTTTAAACATATTTTCTTCATAATCTGGTTGTTTTTCTTTCATATCTTTTATTAATTTAGAATATGTACTTTTACGTCTTTCAGTTACAGATTCATAATGAGCAACATTGTCTTTGGCTTTTTTCTTGTCTTCATCAGTAGAACTTACATCTGTTTTAGTAACATTTTCTGATTGTTTAGCTTGATGTAATTTATGACTTGCATGATGAAATTCTTGTTTTGCTTCATTAATTTTATCTAATAATTCCGACCATGATTTTTGTATTTTTTTAAAATCTTTTTCAAATTCTTTAACTTTTATTACACGACGAAATGATTTTTCATATTTGGAATTTTTATAAGCAATCATTTTATCAATAACATTATGTTGAATATTTTCAGTTATATCATCATTTCTTTCAGCTAATTTTTCAAATGCTTTTATAGATTCAATCCATGTTACTTTTGTAGTACCAAATTCTTTTGATTGAACAATTTTTCTTTGACTTGTTAATGACCATTGACGTAAAGATTCCGAACAATTTTCAAGAACTTTAACAAGATCTTTATAAATTTCAATACCTAAATCACATGATTTATGTCCACCTTCACAACGATCAATGGCTGCTTTGTATTGATTAGGTTCACAAAAACCTTTACCATGCCAAGGATTAGATAGACATTTTTCTGGTGTTGTTTGACCCTGCGGTAAAATACACTGCACTGCAAGATAGATGATGAAAACATCATTTATCCAAAAGAAAATATGAGGTAGAAAAACCTACTGATAAATTTTGATTTGATTCAATATTAGGTAAGAAACGTCGTGTGAAAATTCGTTGATGCCACTAGAACCGAATACGATGACACACGACAATTAGATATTGTAAACAGTGCAGATCATGATGTTATATGAATGGTTTCTTGTTTGAGATGTCTTATACTGTGAAATACCATATATATATATATGGGAGAAATGATGACCCCTTTTTGTTTTTTCTTCCTTTTTATCCGAAGAAGAAAAACATTATGCAAAAACTTTGACAGGTATCCGTTTATACGTGATGTTTTTTCTTCTCTTTCTTTTTCGAGCCCCTTAAAAAAGTAATGTCGTTTATTTTGTAATGTACTGGATCTGTACATATAATTAATAACTAGATATGTTGATACGAGGGGTGTGGACTGACTCATGAATTTTATTTCTGATGTTTCATCCTGCAGTCACTGCATGAATTTGTATTGACTTTTTAGTAACCCTGTTTCTCTCTCTCTCTCTCTCCCTATCTGATATGAAGAACTTGACTCATGGTGTTGTTGATGACACATGAAAATGCATGCTGATTCGATAGTTTATCTTCTGTTGTACTTTCATTTACGAATTGTTTTTTTATAGAAATATTTTTCTCTTTTGTAATTTACGTCGTTTGATAATGTTTTTAATCGTTCCCTAACTATTTGCGCACCATCAACACACATAAAAAAAGAAAGAAAAACAGTGAATCAAAATATTGAAATTGTTATTATTAAAGTTTGACTCAAAAAGAATAGAGTGATTTGTTGAAAAATTTTTAGTAAAATATTGATTTTATCTTAAATTTCGTTCTTTCAATTTAATCCAATAAGAATTTGTAAAGTGTATAAATAATTCTATACGACTGTCTTCGTTTTCTTTTTCCAATATTAATAAAATGAAAACACAGATATGCAAATTCTAGGTTTTTTCCATTCGTATAAGGGCAAATATTTGCTTTCTGTGGTTATTTTTTCCTATTGACTTTTTATCGAATTTTGTTTTTCATAAATTTCCATCTACACTATTCATATTTCTTATCAATGATGTAACCTTCACCAAGATAAAAATACATCAAAGACCTCAATAAATGATAAAAAAAAAAGCTTTTTTTAACTCATGACGCATAATAAAATTTCATCATAGGGAGAAAAAAAAACGAACTTGAAATTAAATAATCAAAAAAGAGTATGTTGTGCTTTGTATGTAGAAAAGAAAAAGTGTACGAATAGATTATCTTCGATCAAAAGAATATTAAATAAATTTTCCGTTTCAGACAATATGAATGTACTTAAATTATACTGATATTTCCTTCATATCACCGAAAAAAAAAACTCATTCGTCATTGATATGACAAGTTTTCAGTGTCAGATTTTTTTTTTTTTTTAATGTATTGTCATCAAAATTAAACGAATAAAACATTTAGTTGCTTTTATTCTTTTTTCCGATTATTGGTTTAGATGAAAATAAAAGTTAACTATAAATGCTACTTTGATATTTTTGTTAACTGAAATCCATCTAATATGACGTATAAATGTCGTATTACAGAAGCAAAGAAACAAACATTACACAACACTTCAGAAAGAACTTATTTGTCATTAAATACATATGTTTCAAATGTCATCCAATAAAAAGAACGCAGTAGTTTTATGTAAATTCTATATAAAATTGTTGTTAAAAATAAATCTTTATGACTCAAGAAAAATAATTATTCATACAAGGTCATTATTTTATGTATGAAACTGTTGACAGCTCAATACGATAGATGAATTTCATAGGCGTAATAATTCGAATCATCGAGAATGTTGATGATAAACGTTCGAAGATTAAAAAAAGAAATATGTATTTGCAAGCATTTCATCAGAATTTGTTTTTTTTTCATCGATAATACGTAGAAATTATTCATTCATTAATCTATTATATGAAATTTAGTCTATTCAGCAATGTGACCAAGGCGAAATGTTGGATCCGACTAGGAAATATTCGTAACTGTCGGATCGAGATTATATTTAACACATAAGTAGGATTTAGTACGAATAGTTGAAGTCGAAATGGATTTGGATTTATGTCTTCTGTAAATTCAAGTGATGATTTCTAAGTAATGTCTTCATAGAAATTTGAATTATGAAATTTAGTCTATAGATAAGTTTCAATGCTATCGGAATATTCTAAAAATTTCAATTCAAACTAATGTATTTTACGTGAAATATTGAACGTTCGAAGAATAACATAATATCTTATATGTAAAGCCGTGGAATCAACCGATCTTCGATATTTAATGTTCGTTTGAGTTTGAAAATATTAGAATATTCTAATAGCACTGAAAATTTCAGATGACAATTTCATAACTCAGAATTCGATGACGAAAGAATTTAGAAGTGAAAAACGATTATCACTCGAGTTGCGTAAGGCATAGACTAAAGCTATTTCGGCTTCGACTAGTTTTACTGAGTCCTATTAAGGAGCGAAATATCAGCTTGATCTATTTTCAACACTTGGGTATGATCCCTTGTCAGATAAAATTCGATCGAAAGAAATTTTTAACTTTTGAATTTTAATTTATATTTAAGTTTTTTTCTTATCGTATTGATATAGAGATGGAGAAGTAATTTGCAATTTGACATCAAAAATGTTGTCCTTGGTCTTCCTTTCGAAAGAATCATACATTGAATACTACCATACAAATTTCATAAAGAAAAATAAATTGATGCATATATAAAATAATTCAGAACCACATTTTGTTCTATGTAGTAATTATTAGGCTACTATTTATTTGTAACAAATCAAATGACCTTAACATGATTTTTCAGCTACGCTTGTTATTTTTATATATATATATATTAAAAAAGGTCAACATATCGTCATGGTAAAATGAATTCGAAATGTTTGTCATAGATAAAAACGAAGAAAAAAGTTTTCATTTTTCGAAGATTGATATTCGTATCAAACATTTACTTATTATAAAATAATAAACATGTATCCATTATTTTTCAAGTATATTTATATTTATTTATAGTCTTTGTAAAAAAAAAAAAGACGTGCCTTGCTCTTATATATAATTCAGCTTTACTTTAGTATTACTCTATCTATATATATATACAGATTGATGAATAAATATTGATAATAAAATACTTCTTGATTGAATATACAACGAGATTCTCATATTATAAGTAGTTTAATCGAACAATGTGCATGCCATTTTCAATCCATTGATTATAATTCTATTATTTTATTTATGTTCAATTACACAATTCATTTCTATAAAAGTTCGTACTAATATAAGTACTACTTATCAAGGTGAATAGAAGATTTAAAACAATGTATCGAACCGAAAAAAGATTGCAGCAGAATGAATAATAAAATGTAAGAAAAAAAAAAAAGAATCAAGCGATAATTGTATTCGATTAGCCTTCATATAATCAATAGATTTTCATCAGCATGCAATGATGATGTATTAATATTTGGTTCTACGGGACGCGGGACGTGATCCTTCCTCATCCCTTCAATACTAAGGTTATACCTTCGTTTAGTTTATATTTATCACACATATTGTATTAAATTGGATTTTGTTATAGATTGAATTTCAACATTTTTTTTTTCGTTACTATGACGTAATGATATGTATAGATAAAAATTAATGATTCAGCTCACTATCTCTCGACAAGCCTAGACAGATCAT